ATTTTTGTTGTTTCTATTTAATTTTTTCTCCAACACTGGCATTTTTAAGATGTGATTTTTAACTCCCATCCACCTGAGGCTGTGCACATTTTCAGTATTTCCACATAAGCAGCTGTATTGGTATTTATGTCTTTAAACACGATGTAATATTATTTTATGCACTGTCATCATTTTTCATATATAGGGACTTTCATCATGTGAATTTTAACTCTCATGGTCCTGACATTGTAATCTTATTGAAAGGGTGGATTAAGACCATCTTCTGGGTCTCCTGGAAGACAGTCAGATTTTACAGTTTATATTAACGGGTTTCTGTTGGAAGACTATCAAAATGGAGGATGGATCAACAAAGATACTTTGGAATACTGTCAGAAAATATCTCTGAATCTGCTTCTGTTATTGACCATGTTACCTGTTGTGCATGATTAAAAACCAGTGTTGACTGACTGTGCTATTATAAGCATTTATTATTGCATCAAAATTGACATAATGACCTATTTTGCATCTTTTTTTTTTTCTGTTTTTTGTCTGTACATTTGACAGCTTTGCTGCCTTGTTTAATTTTGGAATGCAAAAATGATAGTACATAAAAGATGTCCATCTCTCTCCTCAAGAGATATTGCAGTATTATAATAACCTTTATTATAATTTTTTTTCCTTTTCATGAAAGAGCCGTCACCATGCTTTGGTTGTGTTCCAGCAAGATGAAGCATTGCACTTGTTTCAGGAGACAGCACTGCCCCCTGCCAAAATTCCTATATCAAGGTAATCCTGTCAATCTGAGTTTGACAATGTATGTTTTAACGATAACCCAACTTACCTTAACTGCAATCCTTGATTGATGTAAATAAAAAGGAGTAAGGCATTTTTAAAAATTACTTGCATTGTTTCTCAAGCTCTGCCGATCTCAAAATGGCCAAAATAGAAAAAAATAAAATTGAAACCAAAAATATTTTTATTTTTTCCCTGACGTACGACTGATCTTACTGTTCGATCGGAAACACGAATCCTCACAAGTCTCATTGGATTCCTGCGTCACATGACTGCCTACAAGTTCAAAACGAAGGGTATAACAATTAGTTCATTTCCCCCAGCTTCCGGTTTTTAAGCCAATCAGTGCTTCGCTGATATTTTAGGCTTCATTCACATGGAAAGTATTTTCTAAAATCTATTTTCTATTCACGGTATCTTATGATCACGGTCTGTGCCCTGAATATCCCGCGGCGTAATTACTGGCAGTGCGAGCCAGTTACTTATACAAAGCTGTGATTAATTCTCGGCTGTGCTCGGAGGAGATTCTGATACCTTGACGCATGCGCAGTAGGAAGTGATCATGATCTGATGGCAAGCGATGCGGCAACGGAGGATGAGATTTTATAGAATGCCAGCACAGACATTGGACCATTGTCGTGTGGATTAGTGTTATAGTGAAGGAAGGACCAAAGATATTATGCAAAAAGGTCTTTCTGGCCAGTGTTACAGACGTTTTAGGCAATTTTATTGACTGCTTACTGTCATAAATGAAAATATCTACTGTACTGCAACACTTGTCACGTATGGAAGGTATCAAGAGGGAGCTAGCAGTGTCACAAGCAAAAATAGGTTCTGGACTGAATGTAAGAATGCCGGTCACTACGGTGGTAGATATTGACATAAAGTGCATTCAGATAACATTTGGCAGTGAACACCAAAAACTTTAAAAGGCAGGCTCAACTAAAGTCTCAGAGTGTTTTAATGCAGCACTCGTCTTAGATCATTTCCTCCGAGTGCAACCGAGAATTAATAACAGCTTTGGAAGTGACTTGTTTGTGCTGCTAGTTAATTCTGCTGCGGGGTATTCAGGGCACAGACCGTGACCACCAGATACCGCTAATAGATTTTTAGGTTTTTAGAATTAAGATTTTTCATGTGAACTCAGCCTTAGTAACTTGTATTTTCAAAACTGTCTGAGATATGCCCATTATTGAACTTTGATAAGAAGTCATATACTTGTAATCTAACTGTGATTTTGAAATTGACCTTAGACCTTCTTTTTGCCATAAACCACACTTTCCCCATGATTTCGTTTTAAGTGTTAATTTCAACCAAAAAATTGAGAGTCTTGTTCACTGCATTTTGTAGACCTTGTTAAGCAAAACACTGGGGGTGGTGTCTTTTTTTTGGTTTTCCATTCAAATGCGCTTACTCCAGCTGGTAGTACAATACCCTATGTATTTTCAAGTTCATGACACGTGAATTTAACTGATATGGTTCATATGTTATTATTAAATAAACAATTACATAGATACCAAAGTGAGTAACTGTAAAAACCACATGTTGGGCAACATTCTCAAGGTTTATTATCACACTGATATGTTGTATTTTTAATGCTATATTAGGTGGTGACTTAAGAGGTGGTCAAAAAATGTAACGAAAACTACCACGTTTTGCAAAGGTACACTGTGAGCCTACCATAGTTAACTGATTCAATACATAAAGGCATCAGGTGTGCCACATTCATTTAATTAAAACATGAAAATTATTTATTAGATTATCATATCCATTTATTGTACCACCAGCACGATGCTGGTTTTAGTACCAACCTGTCTTGTCTGACGGCCCCACTGTATCTGCCGCCATTTCACCACGTTTGTTTCTCCTCCTAGACTACAAGGGCCTGTGTACCCATCTCTTGGATTAAGTTCACACATAATCTCATCTTGTTCCATTTAAATTTTGGGCTCTGTCAGTGCACAGATCTAGGTGTGGTCATTGTCACAGTGCACCCTTGTCCAAAATTTGCAAAATTTGATGCTTCATATCTCCCAAACTGAAGGAATTATGTGAAAAGTTAGTTTAGATGGCTGACCGAAAGTCATGTGGAGATTTCAAATATGCCCTTAGATTTGACCTTTATTTCAAGATCAAACAGGCCAAAATTTTCCAAAAATGGGAATTTTTTTAAAAAAATTTCCAGAAATTACACAGACCTAACCTATAATATTATGGGCAGGAGTCATACTTCGGATCTTCGTCTTTCATCTTCTTGAGTTTGGGGTCAATTGGTGCATTATCATGGGAAAAGAAGTCATTTAATGCCGAAAATGAAAACTCTTTCTAATTCTGGAACCATAAGTGCTAGAGACCTTTTGTTTCTTGCATTGGAAGTGGTTTCCTTTTTTTTTTTTTTTTTGTATGGTTTACGAGTTGCGGTATATCAAAGAGTACAACATCGCAATATTTAGAACTAAAAATGAAATGTGAAATAACTATTAATAGTTACTATTGAAATTGAATAGGAAGTCATATGCTGGCAACCTAACTGTGACCTTGAAATTGACCTTTGACCTACTTTTTACCACTAATGAACTTTTCCAGCTGGTGGTACAATTGCACAATACCCTGAGGCGGTATCACCTGTGATTCTTTAGTGTCTAGGTAAATATGGTGTGAGTGTGTTTGTTTGTGATTGTATATTGTGTAAAGGGACTGTAGGTCTAGAAATACTGATTTTACCTTTTTTTTGTCAATTTAGACAACAAATTTTCCTACCTGAAAAATATCTTAGTGGGTTGCCAGTGGGAGAAGTGCATGAAGAACTAAGACCACAAAAGAAGAAACCTATGGAGAAAGTCTATAATGACTTACATTTTGCCAAAGATGGGGTATGTGAACAAATATATATATATATATATATATATATATATATATATATATATATATATATATATATATATGTTATAAGCCAACTTGGAAAAAAGAGATAAGTTTGAAAGATGAGAAGAGAGAGAGAGGCTTCAGTGAGATTTTATTTGAACCTAAAGGTCATTGCAAAGTGAGACATGCACTAATAATACATGCACATTAGCACATGTAGCCCTGAGCATGTGAATGAACAGGCCATTGTGTTATGGAGCATGTCTGAATCCTCAACTTTAACCACAAGAAAAGTCTTAAATGTATAAACAGAAATTAGAATCCCAATAATTGATCTTTCAGGCCGTTGTGGCAGATGTGCTGTTCTAAAACTTATCAAGTTTCAATTATGTGTGGTGAAATATACACGTATTCACAAAGAACTCTTTGGTGTCTTATTGAGCACATTGGATGGTCAGTCATATTACATAAATTAATGCTGACATCGTCAGTCTCAACATTGTTTTCAGTGTAGACATGTTTAAGCTTGATTCTGATCCCACCTCTTCCAGATCACAGGGCAGATAGATTTACTTTACAACTCCTTGAAGGTTCAGGACACTGACATATTGAAAAGGTGCTTTGTGAGAGGCCAGATGCAACACTTGTTAGAGAAGTTCTTTCCACACCTGGCTGTACAGCCATTTGGATCCACAATGTGTGGACTGTCCAGTGCCTACAGCTCTGACCTGGACCTATATTTGGTTGACCTTAAAAACGGAAGTGGTGATGATGTAAGTGTAATGTGCAGTATTTAATTCTTGGATTGCTAATTAGACCAGACTGTAATTCTAGTGAAAATATTTTTCCTTGTTTGTTATTGATTTGGTTCATTTTGATATTGGTTGTCTTGAAAAAAAAAATTTACTGTGATGTATCTTTGGCATTTTGAGAAAATCCAGGATGGATGTCATTTTCCATAACATTTTTGGCTTTCAACCACAAGTTTTTGTTTTTTCTCAAAATGCTCAAGGACATACACTAAATTGTTACCCACTAGATATGTATAATAGGAGTTATAGGGATTCAAAAACCCCACTTTAAAAAACTCAACTATAAGGGACCATTCCCACAGAAATTTGGATCGATATATCTTCTGGGGAGTCTTACTAAATTGCTGTCAACTTGATTGACTTAAATGTCTGTCAAGCCTAGTAAAGCTGTTTGGGGGTAATTAGTACCACCAGCGTGTACCCTGACGGTACTCATGGTTTTAGTCCCGACCCATCTCGTACGGCTCCGTGAGCTCCGCCGGCTCCGTTGGCTCCGCAGGGTGTTGTGGGATACAAGTCGCCGTTACCGCTTCTCCTCCTAGACCGCAAGGACCTGTGTCCCCATCTCTTGGATTTAGGTCACATATAATCTCAACTTGAATCCCCTGGTATTTTTGTCTCAGTCGGTGCTTTGGCCTGGGCGTGACACTCGTTGAAACACACCCTTGTCAAAATTTTGGAAAATTCAATGCTAAATATCTCCCAAACCGAAGGAATTATGGGAAAAATTACTACAGAAGTCCGACCGAAAGTCATATGTGGAGATTCCAAATATACCCTGAGATTTGACTTTTGATCTTTATTTCAAGGTCAAACGGGCCAAAATTTTCTAAAAATGGGACTTTTCTGCAAAAAAATATTTGTTTGTACCAATTTTCAGAAACTACACAGACCTAAGCTCTCATATTATGGTGAGGGGTTACAGTCAGGGACTCCTTTCATCTTTGAGAGTTTGGGGTCAATCGGTGCATTTTCATGGGAGAAGCATGAACTGCACTTTGCAATTTTTCTGATCTTTATATCTCCAAATCTGGCAAAAATACGATCACTTTTACTATTGAACTTGAATAGGAAGTCATATACTTGCAAATCTAACTATGACCCTGAAATTGACCTTTGACCTAATTTTCACCTTGAACTGAACTTTGCAAATTTTGTATCCTTTATATCTGGAAAACTGGCAGAGATATGCCCAAAGTTACTATATATATATATATATATATATGCTTATGTCCATATGTCCAAAGTTATTGTTGAACTTGAATAGGAAGTCATATACTGGCAATCTAACTATGACCTTGAAATTGAGCTTTGACCTACTTTTTATGATGAACTGCACCTTGCATGTTTACCTCTCCAAAATTGACAAAGAAATTCCGATGGTTACCATTGAACTTGAATAGGAAGTCATATACTGTGACTTTGAAATTGACCTTTGACCTACTTTTTCACCAAGAACTGAACTTGCATATTTTCTTGCCCCTCATATCTTCAAAACTAGCAGAGATATGCCCATAGTGTTGCCCCAAGGTTTCTTTTTTTGTCAGCATACAACAGATTCAACAATGATAACACATTTCAAGGAAAACCAATAGGTCTATTGTCAAGAAAATCACAGGAGTGATCAATGTTAGGAAAATACAGGTTAATTCCAAAATCTGCATGATTGGACCATTTTTAGTTAATTGTACCACCAGCGTTAGCGCTGGCGGTACACATGGTTTTAGTCCCGTCCGGATCGTTCTGCTGGCTCCGCCGGACGGCTACCGTTACCGCTTCTCCTCCTAGACGGTAAGGGCCCCCGTACCCATCTCTTGGATTTAGGTCACCTATAATCTCAACTCGTTCCACGTAAAATTTGGGCTTTGTCGGTATTGGGGTCTAGGTGTGGCACTCATTGCAATGCACCCTTGTCTAAAAATGGCAAAATTAAATGCTAATTATCTACCCTACGGAAGGAATTATGGGAAAAATTTCTACAGACGGCTTTCCAAAAGTCATATGTGNCCTAATGTGACAGGTGATACCAAATTGTTAGGTGTTACATTGTGTTAGATGTGACACTGTTTTAGATGTGACAGTAATGTGTTAGGTGTGACAGTAATGTGTAAGATGTGACAGTAATGTGTTAGGTGTGACAGTAACGTGTTAGGTGTGACAGCAGGGTAAACATGAAAGCCTTGGTTATAACAGATATATCCTCACCAGAGATATCCTCTTGCTCCTCCTCCTCCTCCTCAGGCAACTCCTCAGTTTTCCCAGAAGACACTGCACCATGGGCTTCCTGTGGACCGAGACTGGGGTCGATGTAATTGGGTAAATATGGCGCCCACTCTTGGACCACTTTCCTTCGACCCTCAGGACCAAGGCGCCTCAGTTCAGCCAATAGGAGGGCTTGGGCAGCTTCACGGATCTGGTGATATCAAAGGTCATAATTATTGCTTTTTCTTGATCTTTTAATCTTTTTTCTTTCTTTCTCTCTTCATTTTCATATATTGTTACCTTTTTTCCTTGATATGAATAACAGTTACCAATTATGTCAGACTTTATGCTTAACCAGAAATTGCTGTTATATTATCAAATTTTTTATGTTAAATATTTTGGAATATTCACTGAAATACCTTCAAACTTATTTGAGATTAACAGTTTCTATTATCATAAACAGATTTTCTGGAATAAAAGCAACAAGCATATAAACACTGTTTAGTCTGGTTCAACAACATTCCATGCTAGGTAGAAAAAAAATCAATTCACTGCAATATACATAATTACATAAAACAGAAGCATCAGGACAAGTCAAATTGTATAACAACAAAAAAGAGAATATAATCTCAAATACAGCAAACAAAAAATGTGCATCTGATAAAATATAATAATTCTTGAAACAAAAATGTTTCACAGTTTGAACAAAAGGTGGCAGTGGCAGCTCTGCTGTACTCTCTATGTCTAAATATTATTGTGCACTTTACAAAAACAAAAAATAATTATACTACTATCACTTACAACAGCATATTTTACTTATCAATCTTCATTACACTTAAAATACCACGCATATTAGTACCCCCCCCCCCAAAAAAAAAAAAAAAAAAAAAGACAACTTAAGAATCCCCTGTACTTAATTTTACAATTATACAATTGTTTTACTAGTATTAGCCCTTTATAATTATTGGTATTTAATTCCAGAGAAGCAACTAATGCATAGATTATTTGCATTTTTCAAAAAAAGTTGCCTGATCTAAAATTGAAACCCTTTGCATATTTTTTCTTGAATGTATTGTTAACATGCCAGAAAAATATAAATGTTGAAGTTTAGAGAACAATATTGCAGAAAACCCTCTGGAAGGAATAATTTGAAAGATCACTGAGTCAATGAAATGCTATTTCTCTTCTAACTACTAGTAATAGGTTCTTGGCACACTGTAGTGGGCTTTATAGGACTGTTTGCATGGGAGAATTGAGGCCGTCTTCTGGGTCTTTCAAACGATGGTGAGGTTTTAAAGTTTACATTGATGGGTATCTAATTTCTTCTGTCGGAAGACGGTCAAATAAGGAGGATGGATCAACAAAAATAATTTGGAAGACTGTCAGAAAACATCTCTGGAGCCGCCCCTGGTTTGCAAAAGGAAAGAAAGGTGACACAAATCCTGGTGACATTAATTATGTAGGGGGAGTATTTTGCAAGACAATGGAGAAAAATTTTTCTTAACTTACAGAAGACAATTTAAGACAATTTTGTAGATGAAAATGACATATTTTAATTGTGACGTCAGCAAGGAGGCTCTGGGATGGTTTACCTTAGGCAAGATGGTAAAAAAATAAAATTAAGATTTCAGAACCACAGGTAACATGTTGCAGGTAAGGATAAAATATTGCCCATTATACATAATCTGTGAATGGTAAAAAAAATAATAATAGTAATAATAATCACCCCATCTGAGGAAAAGGGTTTTATTACTATAATTCTGATTTGTTTTGAGGTTAAAAGACAGAAATTATGTCATAATCTGCATACTAAAAACAAAGGTAAAGAATGCCTTCTCAAGAAACAAATTTAGTTTACTGCAGGAAATCACCAGATCTGTTACAAATCTATTTTCTACTTTCCCTGAAACCCACTCTGAACAAAAACATCTACTTCATTATTCCTCAACAAATTTCTACCTAAATTTGTCAACCAAAACACTTCAAGAAATCGCCACCAGATGTCACTCCTTCTCTGGTCAAATTCTTCCGTTCCTTACCTGTACAGAGCGGTGCTGCCACATACTGGATAGAAGTTGAAGCTGAGAGAAACACAGGGAACAATATGCTTTACAAACATGACAGTGTGTGAGTTGTGACAAATGTGTTGGCTGTGACATGTATTAGCTGTGACATGTTTCAGTGTGTTAGCTGTGACAAATGCGTTGGCTGTGACAAACGTGTTAGCTGTGACACGTGTCAGTGTGTTAGCTGTGACAAATGTGTCAGTGACTTAGCTATGAGCAACCTGGCAGTGCTAGATGTTTGTCAAACAGTGTAAGCTGCAACAATATTTTGTCAAGGGATAGCACTAATGCTGAGACTAGAAGTTAGGGTTGGCATGTATCTAGAAACATGTTTATAGTGTGACACTAAAAAATGCAAAGTACACTAGGTATCACTAATAAGAGTTTCCATGAAAAGTATAAAGCGTAAAATCTGTCATACAGTAAGACTTTGCATATTTAAAGTTGTGACTGTGATAAGTATGTTACATGTGCCAGTATAGTTATAGAACATGCCAGAGTTAAGCTTAAAAATCAATGTGGATATTTGTTAAAACTTGTTCATATACTTTATGAAACCATCACTGCAAGACCTTTCTACATAAAGGGAAACATTAAACTACATAAAATGGGGAAGACTTTACTCAAACAAAATGATACTGGAATGATATCAGTTGATTACTAGTAAGCATATGCCATGCATATCTATGAATAACAACAAAGTGTGTTAGTGAGGTGGTCCAAGTTATCTGTATAAGCAATTCCAATTCTGTGAACAGGCAATTCCAGTTCCGTGTAATGTGTTTGATGTATTAAAACCTTGCACACAAACCTATGTATAAAGATTGCATAATGAGTACACTGTAACTGTTTTACATGGGGTACACTGGGTATCACATGATCATCACATGACCATCACATGACCTTACCTCCAGGCACCTGTCCTGCCACCTACTGGCCAGCATTTGTAGCTTGGGATTCTTGTACAGGTCTGTGCCCACCAAGTCTGGTAATAAGACGCAGTGCAGGGTGGCCAGCAGGCTCCAGCCTTGCTTAGTCTGTGCCTGCTCAATGACAATAGAGTCTGCAGAGCTTGTACCATCTGTATCATCCTCGTCTGAGCTGGAGAATGTCTGTGACATCAGCAAACCTTGGCTGTCAAAGATTTTCCTGTGGAAGGAATTGTGAAGAAAGTTCATTTCACACTGAATTGTACAAATTCCAAATGCCAAATCTATGTCATTACTACTTGGGTTCTTTCAAACATTACACAGCTATGGATAAAATCAATATATTTGAGAAATGAAATGAAATGATGCGTAGTTTCAACTATGAAGCAATGACCATGCTTTATGACTCAGAAAGTACTGCTGACCAATTTCCCAATACAATCCTTTTGTGCTCTGAAATCAATTCTAAACACAACCCTTAGTGATATCATATAGATATTATAACCAGTACCTTGTCAAAGAGACAGGAGATTTCCCCACCAGGAAGGAGGCACTGTTCATACTCATCACAGTGTTAGCAATAGATATAACAGACAGCAGGTGCTGGGTGGTCACCGCCTCCGACACTTCCCAGTGAGCTCTGCTGGTGAACAACTGGGCTTCCCTGTCAACAGATGGCGCCGGTGAGGCAGTCGACTCTGCAGACTTGCCCTTCTTGTCCAAGACAAGCTTAGACTGGAGGCAGAGCTTCTTGTGCCAGCCAGGTAGGAGGAGGGACATGTGACCCCCACGGGAGATCAGGCCAAAGGAGATTGGCGCTAAAGGTGTCAGGAGGCCTAGTTTGCTGATACACAACTTGTCCAGATCAGGGTCTAAGCCCCAGGCATGAAGACAGGACATCAACAACTGGGCGATCTCCATGGTCAGGTTCCCCTCTGTTAGATAGATATTTTTAGGCCTGCGCTGGGCATGCTTTCTGTGGTGATACTGTGGAGGCTGCGAGGGCCGTTGTGGTTTACCTCCGCCCTTGTGAGTGGTGCCACCTTTCTCATGGTGTTTATGGTAGTGAGGGCGGTGAGTGCCTGCATGGTGAGGCTTCCCAGCAGCCTCCATTCTGGCCTGAATCTCCTGGCCAACATTCTCTGCCTTGTCCTTGACCTTGGCTAGAAAACCTGAACACAAATAAAAAATAACATGATAAACGTACTATTTTTATTTTAGCACAAATACATTCAATTTGTTAACTCTGATTTATATAACATGCACTAACAGGTGCATGCAAACACACACAAACATACAATATAAGCAAAATGGCATTTTATATTCCTGATATGAGAAATAATATCATGCTCATACGATATAAATAGTAAACACTTCTATTATAGTGACAAATTATATAACAACTTGGACCACACTTATGTTCATAAACACAGTGTTATGGCCTGCATGCAGATTCTAAAACATTACAAGCATTTTGACAGATTTTTTTTATTTATTTATTTATTTTTGTACCATCACAACAATATATTACATTAAAAAATTTACATTTATGAAATATCAAATGGTTGACTTTTATCTCCTAAAACAGCAGTAAATGGTTTAAATAAGTAAAACTTTTTTGTTGTATAAAATACTATAATGAAGTTCAATATTTGGGGGAAAAACAGAAAAATTTTAATAAATCATATGACAGGGAACTTTATATCATGCATGATTTTTTAATCATGGATAAGTGTTTATCTTGGATATTAACTATATACATCACTGAACTTTTTACCATCGATACCTGGTAAGCTGAACATAATATTTTTGATAACTTTAAGAAACATGCTGGTGGGGTAAAGAGCAAGAATAAATAAAATATTATGGATAACTTATTTCATGGATATCTTTATATAATTGATAACTTAATATAACAGGTATTTCATATCATGGCTAACTAAAACAGTGGATATTTTCACATAATGGAGAACTGTACACCATGCTGGCGGGGTTCACAGCACGCGGTCTCACCACACGGCCAATAGCCCTGCAGGAACGGTGCCGCCAGCACCATGACGTGGTGAAATGAGGCTAATTCAGAAACTGCTACAAAAATATAACAGAAGTAAAGCAAGGGCACAGAAGCTAATTGGTGCTCTAAATTGTTGACAAATGAAGCATTAGTTCATTTGACATCACTGCCTATCATCATCGACACTCTAAAATTTCAATAAAATAAAAACTACTTGCCAAAGCAAAAAGCCTAAAAGCTGATAGACAATCTTATAATAAATAAAAGCAACTATAACATGAAAGCAAAGCACAAGTTTAAAATTGTGTGCACTAAAAAACAATCATATACATGTAGTCTAGCAGACAGCAATTTCATTGAAACTTAATTGATATCAAAATAATCAAAATGTTTTTTTTTAAGTAGCTGTGAATTGTTTTCTGAAATATCTCAATCAAATTAACCACTAACATACAAAATCTATCATATTCATTTCTGATCTTCAAAGAAATGATCAAATTCATTATAAAACAATAAAAGACCTCCAAAGTTCAAGAATTACCATGTCATTGAAAACCTTCAAAGAAATTGTCAAATTCATCATATTTAACAATAATGACTTCCATATTTTACTAATTATATACAGTTTTACTAATGCTCTTCACAGAAACTAAAACAATCATCATAATTCAAACAACAAACCTTCAAATTTCTGCTTTATTTCATCAGTGCCCGTCTTCTGCTCTGACTGGGAATGCTGGGATATGGTCTTTATACCATGCGCCTCCATGGTGCCTGGAGACATGGCTGCATATTCATCACTTAGTAATTGTACTGAAAGTTTCAAACAATATCTAAGAGAACAGAGCCACATTTTGCTAGTAAATTGCACTTGAGAGGGCTTTTATTCTTCTTGATTGCCATAATTAGAGAAAAACATTTAATGATGAAAAATAATTATAGTATCTGTGAGAATGACTCAATTATACAATTGCCTTAGCAAACATGAAAAATTTGCAGCAAATTTGCAAGTTAGAGCATTTATTCTTTGTGGCAAGTGTGCAAGAAAGCATTTAGATCTCTGCAAATTTGCAGCACTGTGGTAGGACTCCATTGCATGGTAAAATTCTTAATGGGTTAAAACTGACCTATGGTGGTCTGTTTCAATCCAAAGAGAAAAACTGACCTGTGAGAGCCTCTGTCTCAAATCAAAGAGTAAAACTGACCTATGAGAGCCTATCTTTCAAATCAAAGAAATAAACTGTCCTATGAGAGCCTCTGTTTCAAATCAAAGAGTAAAACTAACCTATGAGAGCCTCTGTATCAAAGAAGAGAACATGTGACTCTGGGTCTCTGAGGTTGGCCTTGATGCCCTGTATCATCATGGGGAAGGCCTGTGTTTTACCACTGAGGTCAGGACGATTACGGGTAGGATCTGAGCCTGGCTGGTTGATCTGCTGGGAGAGAAGAAAAATATTGTTATTCCACAAAATGTGCTAAAATGTAACAAAATGTGTTATAAATTTAACAAAATCTGCTATAAAGGTAACAAAATATGCATTAAATGTAATAGCAAAATGTGTTATAAATGCAATAACAAAATGTGTCACAATGTTACAAAATGTAACATCACAGAAAATGAATTTAAGCTTTGACGGAGTAACTCTCAATATATGACTCATGTCAGTAAAACTAGCAGTCTTATCTGATTCAGCTGTTTGAGTTGAAAAGAAATTTCATGTATGACATGTGCAAGTTTAAATCCTTTGCATCTGCAATACAATGATACTAAATTTCTCAAATAACATCAGGAACTCATATTTCATTTATCCATATCTTATAGGCCAAATGACTGTACGTTTCTAAATATTGATTTTTGACATCACAGATAAACACCTACCTTAAATTTCTGCTCGGCTAAGTTCTTGAAGGTGGCCAGGTTTCTCCTCCTGAATGCCTGAGCTATGCTGATGGTGGGGTTGACCAGAGACTCACTGTGGTGCACAGAGTGACCCTCCGCCTTCATCATCTCATCACAGGCATGAAGGATGTCCACGGCCGTGGTACCATGGACAACACGGTCCAGGTGACCTACAGGATACAGAGAATTACAAAATACGTTCAGGTGCCTGTTTTGTAATTGCAATTTTGAATTAATTTTTGGTCCTACAAGATTTAGCTGTCAAATTTGTTTCATATTTAAAAGGTAATTTGCTGTATTTATTAGGCCTGAAGTTTTATAAACAGCTGAAATTTAAGCATCAACTAGATGACCTCTATGGCATATTGTATGACTTACATGACAATATTATGATTATTTTTATATTGGAATTTTTTTATGAAACATTCAACTCAGTCATATAAAATACAGATTTATCATAATTTTTTTAAATTACTTCTTACACAAAAATTATCCCAATATTTACCTTTCAAAATTACAACAATTTTCAATATCATAAACATAATACTGTATAATAACTCTATTATCATTATAATTATGCTCATTATAATTACTATGATTATTTCTTGTATTATAATGGTTATTATTATTTTCAGGAATTCCGTCCCAGCTATTCTCTGACCTGTTTCCATCTGCCACACGTACACTGTACCGTCTGTGCAGCCTACCACCATAAAGTCATCCAGGGGGCGCCACTTGATGGTCTGCACTGGAAACATGTGGCGGCTTGCCATCGTGATACATTTTCTTTCCTTCAGACTCAGGAGAGCCACAGAATGGTCACTTGCCACTGAACAGATGCAGGGTTGTATACGAGCCTATGGAAGCAAGCAATAATTATACTTTTACTAGGCTAAAAATAAGACACTACAGAATAAAACTTTCAAAAACACTTTCAAAATCATGTTGTAAGTGCTGGCTCACTTCACTGAAGTTGAAAATCTAGATCATCATCACATACTAGTCTGTTAAAGGTACTTATTAGCTGCGCCAAGCAATATCAGATTGCAACCTTCAAAATTGCTCCGTTTTTATATTTAACCTGGTTCAGTAACAAACAAGCAAGAGTAAACTGGGAAGATGTACATTCCACTGTTCTTACGTTACACCCATCTGGAGGCACCATCAGCTGCGTAATCTCTCCACCATGGACAGTAAATGTGTGGAGTTTGATCCCAGTGTAGATGTCCCATAGAAATACGCAGAAGTCTGCTCCGCCGGAGACAAGGTGCTGGGGCTCGTAGCGTGCTCCGTCATTGAATGGGTACAACAGGGCAGTCACTCGGCCCTTGTGTCCATCTAGTACTTTGTGGACAGCATGGTCTGAGATGATAAGAAACATTTATCTTTTATTTACCCGGGTATTCACTGTTGGTTCATTTAAAGTGATTAACACATGTCTTTCAAATACTACATTTTAAAAATATCTGTCGAGAAATAATCACTCCAATCTTAATGCTTCTTTATAACATAAGTTATTTTTTCAGATCTACAGAATCTTCCTCTTTTCTTCTTCATCTTTTAACTTGCTCTATTATCTATGTGTTTTCTGACAAATTATAATTTTGGGGTTGTATAAAATCACCATGGTGTTAAACTGACCATGTTTGATCTTGTGTTTGGAGTCCAGAAGTTGCATGATAACACTCTGTGTGGCGGGGACAATAACGATGGAACCATCCTCCCGCCCACACACCAGCCGTCCCTGGGAGGGGATGTAGATGGTGGCTGTGATCTGCTGGGGCTTTTCTCCTTCATTAGACTGGAACCGTGGGAGAATAGTAATGAAACTGTGATATACATATACAGTATGTATGAAATGCTTCTGAATGCCTTGCTCCCTTTCTCTCTCTCTTTCTCCTCTTTTTCACACACACACACACACACACACACACACCTCACACTCCCTTTGTCACACTAATGGCACACACACACTCCCTACCTCTCTCTCTCACACACACATACACAAACACTCCTCTCCCTCTCCCTCTCTCATACACACACACACACATGCATGCACACACACACTTCCACCTCTCTCTTTCTCTCAGTCTCTCTCTTTTCCATCTCTCTCTTTCTCTCTCTTTCCCTCTCTCTCTCTCTCTCACTCTCCCCCAGGTGACCCCCACTGACCAGTAAGTCCAGTATCCCCACAGGAGAAGTGTCCAGTGAGTCCCAGGCCTCCTGGAGGGTCAAGCTGGCCTTGGGGTGGACAGCTGAAAGTTCAGAAAACATGACTCATAAATACTTCATTTCACCTCAAAAATCTTCCAAACAAATGTACTTTTATATGTCTGTTTGAAAATTTTATTTCAATTTGTAGAACCCAATCAGCCTGTTTAGGTGAATGTTCATCTGGCCCAGATGTATGTGTCATTACCCTTTGCAAAATGGAAGCATTTGCAGCAACGGGTTTGCAACTATATTGCAGCAAGTCTGCTGCAAACTTGCAAGAAGGAATTGCAGTTTGCAGCAAATTTGCTGCAAATTCACTGCAAATTTGCAGTAAACCTGATAAATTGCCAAGGGTATAATTACAATTCAATTAACATCGACCAGCCAGGAGGTACATGTAGCAATGTGATCATACTGGTAGCTTCTGACAGATACTGTTAGAAATAAACCTAGATTTTGTTTTAAAAAACTGATTTCAAATTACCATTCATCTCTAGAGTCTGATGATAACAAAATCAATCTCTGGACATAAAAATCCTCACATACCTGGCAGCCTATCAAAACTCTCCTGTCTCACCAGTGTCATCTGCTGCTCTGTGACCTCAGGAATGCACCAGACCACGATTCTCCCCTCAGAGTCCCCACGCAGTAACATCTTCTGCTGCTTCCACATCGTGCCAAAGAAGTAGGTCATCGCTGGGGAACAGACCAGTTTCTGGGGGGGAAATGATTGCGTGTTTGAAATTTGTGTGCTTTCAAATGTGTTCTGCATTAAATGTGACAAAAATTTTCTTAAACGTAACAGATTGCCTTCTGAAATACTATTTTAAATTTTTTATTGGAAATTCATTTGAAATGATAATGTCAAGTGACTTAATCTTAGTTTAAACACTGTGACATTATCTTTTCATATAATTACGCATTTACTATATTTTGCACAGACAATACAATAAACCCTGTAAGTTAAAAAACAGATGACAAACTGCATTAGCTGAATAGTGTCTATCACATATAATGCCATACAGTGCATTACTTTAGATAGGGCACCAGCTTTAAATGTGAAACAATGGGTGCCTTCACACTGAGAAGAGCCGAGGTCTAGTAAGGCCGCGACCTAAATATGGCGGACTTACATGAAAGGAAGACCGCTAATCCTGTTAATCCTCACCACGCGTCGTCCCTGCAGCAGCACAGTAATTAAATCTCAGCTCAATTCAACTGGGGGGGGGGGGGCGTGTGAGAGGCGGAGAGACCATTAAAAGATTAGCGATCTTCCTTTCATGTAGGTCCACCATATTTAGGTCGCGGCCTTACTAGACCTCGGCTCTTCTCGATGTGAATGCTCCCAATGGCTTTAGTTGTAGCCCATCATGACAGACATGACACAATTTACCTGCTCCTGCAACACATCCAGAACACCATACGTCATGGGGGCTGCGTTTTCCTTTACCACGTTCCCCACCATTTTACGAAATTCTTGACTCTTGGGGTTAGCACTAGAAAATAATAATGAATATATGTATTAGTCTCCTCTCCAATCTTCAAGCAGATTTGTAAGTACTCGTAACTAATCTACATGCTGCAAAAATTTCAAATGGAGTCACAAACAAACAACCTGTAGTTGCAATAAAAACACAGACATGTGCAATTTGTACGGATAACAATAAGATGTCACAAAAACAAAACATCCACCAAAGCTCCAGAACTAACATCTGCAACACCAACCACTGCTCCAAGGTAACTGACTGGTAGATTTAGTAACAGACTTGTCAAGTATTGGATTTTTCAGTAACTAAGGCCAATTTGACTAGTAAGGACTTTAGGAACATGTTCATTACTTTATATTGATATTTAATAATTTTCCAGTTCACGGGATTCTGTATTTTATAAATTTCATCCTTGGATGGACAAATTACAATTATAAAGAGTGGTTTTCTTAGATCTACCAGTCAGAGAGCCCAGCGGGAACAGGGGAGTAAAAGGAATACAAGTTATGAGGTCAAATATCAAGTATAAATAAAGAAATAAGAAGCAGTACCAAGCACCAGATTCTATGATTCTGTAAATGAAAGGAACATCTTTATTTGTTTGTCTGTTGTTGTTTGTGAGGTATTTGAATTAATTTTTTTTTTTTTTTTTTTTTTTTTGTTTTGTGTTGTTTGTTTGTGTTAATTGTTTGTTTTTCTGATGCAGTCTTGTTTGTGCACCAAGCTATAGGTGGCGTATCATACCAGGATGCTCCAAATGCCCCTTCTACAACACATCCACAATATGCAATAACTGAACAGATGTGCAACAGCCATAAACCACACATCTGCCTTCTGTGCATGGTAATTACTCAATACTTAGAATATCTGACTTTAAACATATCACTTTTTAGTCTTTTTTTTGTCATTTTCACTTACTCATAAAAGTATAGTCTTAGACATGAAACGAACTCCATTTCTAGACCCTTTAAATCATCAAGTTCAGATATTTAATGAAAGCATTATTGTTTATGTGATAAAAACATAATTGCTTTCTCTGGGATGTGATTAAGAGTAATTACCATACTTGGTAGCAACACTGACAAAATCAATAAAAAGCATGGTAAACATATACATATCTTTGTTATGATATTGTAAAAAAAAAAAAAGGAGCCCTAAGCTTTTAAAAAATCTGAAATCTGGACAATAATCTGAAGATTTCAATATTTTCTTTCCAAATGACACATCCATTTCTCTCTCCCACCCATCCACCTTTTTTTTTTTCAGAATAGGATCAAAATAACTTTTTCATTACCAGATACAAGCTCAAAATGGTTGGGGACAGAAATTCAAAGATGGCAAATTACAAAGATCCAATTATCAGAGAGCATCCATGCATTGTATTCAAGCAATTCTAATTAACAAATTTTTCGAGAAAAAAAACCCAAAAAAAAAACCAATGTATAAATTAACAAGGGCTGCCTTCCTTTCTGTACTCAGCATGTATATAGTAGAAGGTCTTGTTTCCATTCAGATCTGTAAGCAGGAAGCCAGGTTCAGGGGGGTCAAAAGAGATGCCCCTTTTGACCAGAAAATGTGTGCTTTGAATTAAAAGTTGATCTCTTATTAACTTTGAACATATAAAAAAAGTGCACTTTTTTTTTCGAAAAAAAGACCCCCAACTGGAATTGCAAGCTATATGCTGGGCCATTTTATCAAAGTATCAAGTAATAATTGACTATATAAATTGTGTAGAATACGTTGTAATGCACGGCATTGGCAACCCTGTTAATAATTTCTAACATTTTGAAACCACAACCAAAAAACCACCTGTCCAAGCTTAAGAAGAGAGAAAGAACAACAATCCAGCATAAAAAAAGAGAATTTTTTTACATGCCAGGACTTTGTTTCAACATTCCCTTACATGCAAAGAAAAAGTCTATCCAACAAAGTAAATAATGAACAATAAAACAAAATTAAGACACCATAACAAAGTGCCTGTAAAAACAAATATATACAATGAAAAATTCAACCCTGGGACTGCACTGCACTGCCACCTATACTTATGTCACAGCTTCAGACGCAGAAAAAGTGACAACATGTCACTGGATATGCATATTCAGTTTTTAAAAATCTCACCAATCATGCAGTTTTCGAACTGACAATAATATTGTGACCATATTTTTTACCTTTGACCTTCTTGGGAATTGTCAAACAGCCCGCATGAACAAAGAATACTAGTAGTTTCAAATAAGAACTTTGCTTAAGACTAAATTTTTTAGTTCAGCTTTGCAGTTAACACAATAAGTAACTTTATCCTTAGACAAATCCAAACTGTTGATTTCTACTTTTAAAAAGCTTTGGTAAGAGTGTAGAATCAACAATTCACAATCTAAAGCTGTGACATTCATCAAGATGGCAGATATGACCATTATCAGAAGCATGGCTATAGTTCTTCATAGAATGAAATATGACTTCTGCAGCAAATTTATATAATTCGCTTTAATTTTTGACCATAATAATTACTTCATTTTTATGATGAATTTTACCTCTGCAACATCTGTTTTAGAACTAAGCTGAAAATAATAAATATTTTCCACCAAAAACCATTCTGCTTTGTCATATTTCATTTTCACCTTGGAAAAACACAAAAAGCAGTTTGAACCTAAAACTAGACCAATAAACAAACTGGCCAAAGACGACTCAACAGCAGATCCAGAATGACACTTTTGATAGTTGCCATGGCAACAATTGCACTCATCAAAAGATAATAAAATTTCTTTCTAGCCAAAATATTTATTCCACTAAACTTTGCTGAATTTTGCCAAAAATGCATACTTTTATGTTACATTTTGAATTGGATACAATAAACAAGAACAACATTTGAATTTTTTTCTTGCCAAATGAGAATAAACAGTACGTATGTCTGAGCATTTTTCAGGAAGATAAAAGTGAAGGTAAACCCTGGCTGCTAAGTGCCCCCCTCTCCCCTGGGGTCTCCCTGGATCAACTGTTGATTTTGAACCTTGTATTAAATAAAAATAGCATCATCTTGTCTTCATCTTACCTCTGCAGCACCTTGCCCTTTAGTAGACTTTAAGGAATAGGACGGGAAATAAAACAGGGGTTAAATTTTAAATAACTTCACAAAGCATGGTGGTGTAAGACAATAAAGAGTGGAAATTAAAAGAATTAAAAATAAGGAATAAAAATGAACATATGACCACTGTGAGCCCTTGTGTTTCAGTTTAAATCCTCAAATTATACATCAATATTCAAATTATCAAACAACAATTTCACATATCATTGTAGCCTTATCTGAAGAAAAAAAAAATACATTTCAGCAGTTCATAAACTTAGGAGAAAAAGGTATATATTTTGTTCAAAGATTCCAAGAGGCAACACACTGTGCAGTATACAAACTTAAAATGAAACAAAAATGTGTTCAGGGTTTCATAAAATTCTTCATAAAAATGAGACAACAACAACAACAAAAAAGTTTAAAATCTCTTAAAGAGGACCACTTCAGACAATGTTCAAAACATATCTGATACCACTTCATCTAGAAAACAAGTCAGCAGTAAAACACACACAAGTACATAGCACAACATTCCAGACAATCACATTACACAAGACAGTAATATTTCTCATTAAAAACAAATACAACATGATATTGTTTCAAGTCACGACTGTAAGAGTCTCAACATGTAAAGAGAGAAGAACAAACAGCACATGTACGTCTTGAAAACCATCACCATGACAACAACAAACAAGACAGGACTGTTACACGTGCACACTTAGAGATAGCTTTTTTAACATACTGTTTTAAATTGTATACAATTGTAAATCAAAGATTTCGTCTTTAAAATAATATTGGCTACCAACATTAAAATCTGAAAATAATTTTATCAGAGATTTACGCATCATACTTGAGTAACAAATACCAATGAGTGTAAAACCATAAATACACATGTAACAAGCGACATTTCTTAGAATTTTTTTCTTTTTGTAGTGACATATAACATACACATTCAGTGCGACACCAGTACCTGAACAAAATTGTCTAGTCTAAATAAATAAATAAATAAATAATAAACTAACAAAATAATAGCTAAAAACTGAGCAAATATTTCCCAACACTCAGTCTAAAGCATTTTATGAGATACCAAATCACCATGGAAATAAAAAAAAATGTAAAACAAAACCAAATGATTTATTTCCTGATATTTAAATGAAATTTCAAATATATTTTGGATAAAGCTAAACTGTGCCTTTAACCAAACTATTACTATAATTAGACATTCAGTGCAAATCAGCCCATTAACTTGTAGAGGATACTGAAAGTAGACAGCATGGCTGGCAGATATACAGACATTGTACAAAAACAAATCCAAGAAACGTACTGAAGCGTGTCAGATGTTTCAACAAGATGAATCATTATGATTAAAAAGTGAAAGATTCTGTATAATTTCGTCAATTTTCACCCCAGTACCATGAACAATTACAATGAATTTCACAGTGACAGAGACAACATGGACAGGCAGAATACAGAACAGAATTAAACAGATTCCAAACTAACAATTACAATGTCTGTACATAAAACTCCTTCAACACTGAGTGCATATAATTCATATCTTATTGGTGCCTATATGATATAAAAAAAATACCATCTTAAATAAATGAAAAATATCCCCATTCTGTGCAAAGGTACCGTAATGACCCTTTTAAATTGGACTCCTCTCGTTCTAATCTATAGCTAGAAGGCTGTAAATGTGGGTCAAGAATAAACTACCCAATCATACATAATCCAATATATTGCACTATATGTAATCCATATGGAGCCAACATTGTGAATCACAGAATCCAATATATAAAGCTGTTTGTGATCACATGTAGCCATGTAGAATTACATAATCCAATATATATAGTTAAAAATTTCCAGGACCATAATTTTGACATAAGACATCTAGTAGACAATTGCTGTTTGGTGGGTACAAAATTGGAGAGAGTACTACTGAGCACAATTCCTTGATTTTTCCCCAATTATAGGGACTATTTCTGATTTTTTTTTACTTTTCCTGGACTGGAAAAGAGGGTAAGTCACTTCCAATTTTTTGCCCGATTTCCAGGTACGAGGTCAATCTGGCTATGGTGATCCATATCGAATCATATAAGACAATATATTGAGCTATGCACAATCCATATTGAATCATATAAAACAATATATTGAACTATGTGTGATCCATATTGAGTCATATAAAACAATATACTATACTGGGCTAACTACTATACTATTGGTTACTCACTCTGTGGGGTAAAGATCTGGGCAGCTTCTCAACAGGGATCAAATAACAATACTTCATTATTCTTTCTCTCTCTCTTTTAATAATTTTCTTACAAAATTCACCAGATTTCTGCATTTTTTTCTGCATATTTAGTCCTCGTAGAATTTTCATTTAGCAATTAAGTATCCATATTGCTATGACTGTTAATTACTATATTATTGCATTTTTCATAATGATATTAAAGCCAATCATAATATTTTCTTTATCTAGCATCGTGTTTATTCATGGAATGTCTCACTGATATGACAATGATAGCTCATACTGTTGCAAAAAAAAATGCAACATATCAAAATTAATAAGCTAATTTACTAACAAATATCTTTCAAAGCATTTCTAACCCAATAAAGTAAGACTGTAATGAAAATGAATGATGAATGTTTCTCAAACCAAAACAGGCAGTAATTTATAAAAGTACATGATAAAAATAACAATGTTACATCTGAAATAATAATTATTGTATCTCACTCATTTTACTTATCTAATTAGATACTGGATTTAAATATATAAAAGTAGACTCAAATTTTCTTAAAAACATTAACAGACACACACGCACACACTATGTATATATATATATGTACAAGTTTGTACAAACAATAATGCAAAGCAGATTTTTACTCATATTCCATCACACACACACACACACACACACACACACACACACACACACACACACACACACACACCTAAAGCACATTTACGCATGCTTGTACGTACGTAAGCGCAAACACATACAAAGTTGACATACACAGACACACACACACACACACATGAGCACAGATGCCAACAATCACCACTTTCACTAAACCCTGATAAAAGTACACAGGCATTCAAGTAAGCACATGTACATACACACACACACACACACACACACACACACACACACATCTTGTACTCACTTCATGGGCAGTTTGTAGAGATATCCCTTCCCCTCACTGCTCCACACAATGACTTTGTCCACGGCGATGAACTCTCCGCCCGACCACCTCTCTCCCGTTCTGGCAGACTCTGAACACAGCAGGGAGAAATCCCCTGCATCATAGATCTGGAATTATAAGATAAATGAAATCCTATTTATTAATAATCTAAATTATGAAATTCATTATATGATGAATGTATTCATTATATTCACATCCATGAGATATATAAGGTACACTAACTTTTTAATGAAAAAAGTCCAGAATGAAACATCACTTATAACTAAATAATCTTCATGGAATTTCCTTGCAGTATCATGGATATTTTTTGTAGTTTTTGTAGTCTAAAGTCTGGGTCTTTTCTCTTTATCCACTAGCAGACAAAACCTCAACACAGCAGACAAAACCTCAGCAAACTCACACATTGAGAGAATATTGTGCTACTCTCATTTTTAAATACAGTAATGAAATATGCAAAAATGTTCATTAGCTTGGTAGTTGGATCATAAAAGAAATTATCAAACACAAGCCAAAAAACCTTCATACCATTATCTGCTCACATAAGTCTAATGAAGGCCTATGTCCAGCTTGGCCATAAGCTGATGATATGAAAGTTTTTTGTTTTTTTGTTTTTTTGGCTTATGTTTGATCATATTCATTCATGATAGTAATAAGATAATTCATATGGCTGCAACAGATCTGCTTCTTGTAAAATAAATACCCCAAACAGAAAAATTTTAAATTTGACTTTTTAAGCCAATCACAGACATGCTTTCTCAAGTTTTTAAGCAGATGAACAATTTCATGGACAATTTTTTATCAACTCTTTAATCAATACTATTTTAACACACTTAAAACTTTTCACTTTCCTCAGGCTGTTTCTCATAATCCAGTCACAGAATTTTCCATAGACTAACATTAGTTCTGTCTACAAAGGACAGCATCTGTATAAACAATTTTACCTCAACTGATTTACTGAGATCATGTATAATTTTTTCCAAGTTCATAAGTACTGAAAATATTAGTAAAGGTCCACATTTAGCAAAAATTGCTCCTAGATATATGTTAATATATCTATTTAAAATATTTAATAGTTTAAAAAAATAAAACATTCTGACCTGGCCCCAAGCTTAGTGAATACTACAAAAGGTGAGAGACAGGTTTATCTCCAAGACTATATAATATTTTCAGGCCCGTAGCCAAGGGGGTTCGGGGGGTTCGAAAGAACCGCCCCTTTTGCTGGGAAAAGGTCCACTCTGGGTAAAATTTGATCTAGTTACATGATGTTTTAATGGAAAAAGGTCCACTTTTCAGAAAACGAGCCCCCCTTTTGAAATTGCTGGCTACGGGCCTGATTTTCTATGATAACCCCTTGAGAAATATTTAATATCTAATTGTGCCTGCTGATCCTGTTATTTGTACATGTTTGTGCATGTGTATGTTTTAAAGCACTAACATTAATGTGAACAAGCGTGAACACCAGGCATATACCAGAATGTAAGTGTAAAAATACGATGTTCTTTTAATCTAAACTGAGTACGTATGTCATTTTTAAGAGGCCAAATATACCACTAAAACCTTTTGTGTTAATTTGAAAGCAACAGCAAAAAGTATCCCCAAAAAGCTTCATGCTCAAATAGTTACTGTATTTACTGATTTCATGGCAGTTAAAAATAGCTAAACTACTTCCAAGCTACCAGCATAGGAGAAACCATCATATTATACATGTATAATACTACACAGGTGATCACTTACATTTGAATACACAGTTGTATATATTCAAACTTACAGAATACAGACATGGGAAACTGCCTAATTAACCAGCAGCAAGTCATGACTGATAGAAATGCCAGAGGACCTGCAAGATTTGATATTGCAGCTCCTCTGGACTGGCAGGGTTTATGTGAATATTCAATAAATTACAATGAATCACATGTAAACATAGAGTAACAAAAATAATTCTGACCAACAGAGGATCTGCAGATTTCTTGTGGTGTAGGTCCTTTGGATTTTCAGTACCTCTTAATTATAACTTCACCCCATGTCTGAGAATATACATACACACACACACACACGCAGAGAAATCCACATGCACACACAAACATAAACATATACACACAAACACACACACACAGAGAGAGAGAGAGAGAGAGATTGGTTATGCTTGAGAGAAAGGAGAGGGAGAGAATAACAGATGACAGAGAGGGGGGGGGGGAAGAGAGATAGATGTACACACACACAAGCATGCATGCACACCTTTGGTTTTCCTGGCCCTGTGTGTATTACATGTGTCAAAGTGTACATGGACAATATGAAGAGAGAAAAGTTGAGGAGAACCCAGCTCAAAACAGCCAGTCTTATAGGTAATGTCAAAACATTACTGTATATATTCCATTAGAAACTCTCCTCTGTAACAAGCACCCAGACCCTGTTTCCCAAGGTTAGATAACCAGCTGTTGCAGATTATAATATAATTAGAGGAGAGTCTCCAATAGCCTCAGACACTCAGGGCAAACTCAACTCATCTGAGACTTCACGAGTTGTTTCACAAAACACTGAAAGACAGGAAGTTGGTCTTTACTTCTAAACTGATATCATTAGATTAAATTAAGTCTGCTTATTAAGCCAAGGCTAGTCCAGTAATAGTTCACAAATAGCACTTTGTTAAGAAAAAAATAGTCCATTTTTGGACCAGTAGTTCATTAGATGAAAATAAATCAAAAATTTCGGCCTTAAACTTTTAAATTCTAAAAGACCAACAATTTTAGTCTTAGAGCTAAGACTAAATTCCAGTCTTAAGTCCTTTTGTGAAACCTGGTCTAAGACAGAGAACCCACAATGCACCATGACCACCATGTAAGGTAAGGCAAAGTCCAAGATTTCCCATTGACACATTGACAGCACTCTTCCACCCCCCCCCTTCCCCTCCCCCCCTCCCCCCTCCGGTTCCTTACCTCTGGATCGCCAATACTAGGAGCTACACAGCCATAGATCTGAAAAGTTGCCCTTACAGAATAACTCAAAGTGGCTACTAACATAAATGACAGTCTTTTCTATAATAGTGCATTTCTCCTGTGTAATAATTGTTTTCTGTTTTAAAACTTAATACCACTTCAGTTTCTATTATGGTTATAACTCAATACATTCAACTGATTCAAACAAAACAGATAAATAATTTTCAGAGAACTAATTTGCTTTGTTAGTTATAAGTATAACTGTGGATTCAAAAATTATGAAAGGATAGTTGGCATGTTGTCATATACTTTGATAAATCTTGATAGAGAAAAATACAAAAAAGAGTTGTTTGAAATGAAAGGCAATTAGCATAAATAAGGTCACTGTGGTTCAAATGAGATTTTGAAATGATACGAAGAAAAAAAATTTACAAAAAGAAAAAGTATGAGCAATTGCATTTTATGTGTCCATGTAAAAAAAAAAACATTCCTAGAATGGATAAAACATTTTGAGTGTATTCACATGTGGGTATAATAGTGTGCCGTTTTTGTAATCTGATAACCTTCCACCAGGTTATGTCAAGTTTAACCTCAGGTTTCAGTATTATATTAGTACTAGAATTAGTATCAGTATGGTTTGGTATTAGCATTAGTATCATCAATATGCAGTGAGTATTAGTACATTATCAGTATGGACTTGGTGTTAACATCAGTACTGAGTAGTCAGTAATATTAGTATTAGTACCTGTTCTAGTATCAGCTCTGTATCAATATTAGTATCAGTATTAATATTAGTATCAGTATTAATAATACTATCAGTATCAATATTAGTAGCAGTGCAAACTCGGTATAAGCTTTTCATATAAGTATTAGTATAAACTCAGTATTATATTAAAATTAGTATCAGAGTGAGTATCAAATCTGTAAAAGTAAAAATATTATCATTAGTATCTACAGTACACAATCTACGTACATACAAAAATGTGAAAAGAAAAACACAGGTAAATATGGTATATTTTAAGCACTATATAGCCCTCATTTATAACTATCTTCACTATAACAACCCCCTGGTTTAGTCTCCATGAAGAAGATGACTGTCATTTGATTCTGTCTGTGTCACACTGGATACTTATGTTATAATTACTTACTTGATAAAGTACCCTTCCCCTGACCTAAGATTCCGTTGCCTCCCAGTCTGATATTTCTCAGCCCCCAGTCTGAGATTTTTAATCCCCCCCCCCCAGTCTGAGACAACTGAAGAACTATCTCATTTCAGCATCAGACATGAGGGGAAAAACTAGATTGTTCAAAGTGTCTAGATGAGTCCAACTGCACTGGTGGGAATATCTGCTGTCAGTCCATAATCTATATTTTAAATCTTGAGTATTGCATACTAGTATGTTGATTCCAACTACGTATTGTTTTTTTCTCAGTTCTGCTAGTCAGAATGCCAAAAGGGTTGAGAACCATAAAGTAATTGCTAACACCACATCCATAACAGACATAACATGCACATATAAATGCTCCTCAAGCATGCACACACATACATCATACAGTACATAATCACACACATCATTCCATGCAGAGCACGAAGCCCAAGCAGCAGTACTGCATGCAAAAATGTTAGTTCTACTGACATGCACAGTGTGTGAAAACTGATATGTGATGGAGGGAAATATGGTGTGCAGTAGGCACTGGAAGGCAGACAGCTGCAGAGACTGGTAGTACTGGGCGTGACAGAGTATTGTATTTGCCAGTGTGTTAGATGTGACAGTGTGTTAGGTGTGACAGCGTTTTAGATGTGACAGTGTGTTAGGTGTGACAGTGTGTTAGGTGTAACAACATGGAGAGTGTTAGGTGTGACAGTGTCATAAGTATTGTAGCAGTGACAATGTGTTAGATATTAAAGCTTTTTATATGTGGGAGTTTTAGATGTAGCAGTGTGTTAGGTGTGACTGTGTACTACATGTAAAAGTGTGTTAGATGTGACAGTCTACATTACCTGCCAGTACTTGGAGCAGACAATCAACACAGTACGCTGGTTATAAGCACAGCAGGTCAAGGTCTGGGCATTGAGACAGCGGATGTGCTTAGACTCATCCTCAAATATCTCTTTATTCTGGAAAAGAGAGAGTGCACTGTGTTAAAATGACTATCAATAAGCTGAATATTACTAAAGGCCATTCTTGAAGATATTCAGCAGAGAAAATCACTTGACATATCATGAAAATTATCAAATAATTTCAAACCAGAATCAATGATCATGTCTTGTACAGGATACTCAAAAACATGAATACAATGGCCAACAGCAAATAATTATATGATTTTATATCACATAACCATAGAATGCAACATGTTACTCATAATGCATGCAAATCCATGTGAACTTTGAAACATCATATTAATACATATCTTGTCACTTTTTGACAGATTTGTTTCATTTTCTCATGGACATGCCTTTAAAACATACCTTTAAAGAATTAGGCTCCAAGGTCCAAACTTTGACTGTTCCAGAATTAGAGATGGCCACAACAACATCATCTGGAAAAGCAGAATTCACAACATCAACAAAGCTATGGCAATACATGGATTCTGATATTTAACAGTCTTGATTAAGTTCCATTCATACTGTTAATAGGGAGATCCTTCTTCATACAGGCCAATAGCCAGCAATTTCAGAGAAGGGGCTCTTTTTCCTAATGAAATGGACCTTTTACCATGAGACTTTGATATACGATTTTTCCATCCCCCACCTAAAGCCTATTTGTACAACTTGCCTTTAAGACACTATGTGCATTCCCAGCACAACATACCTTCTCTATTCACAGGTCTTAGGATACAAAATGCACTGATCCAATCTGAGGAAATCTTAGAGGACAGTGTATAGAGCAGCGTCAGGTTCGCGGGGTCTATGATCTGGATCTCTGGGTAGTAGCCATTACAGACTAGACGAAAGTCTTTACAGTCTAACATGTGGTATGACTGGAATGTAGACAAAATATGATAGATTAGGTCTCCTAAGTGACTCTGGAACCTACATGCACACATACACAAACATGTACACACATACTCACACATGCATAGACATGTACATGGTTTCCATGGTCAATACTCTTAGCTAACTCTTGTGTAGATTTTTTTTATACTAAAAGGAATATTCTTGTGAGAGTCTGATCATGAATTTAGTTAGAACAGAATGCATAACAAAATTTTGTTAGCATTTATCCAGCATTTACAAACCTACACCTTGTTATTCATAAATCTTCCTGAATAGATGAATAAAATCTGTTGTCAAATCAGGTGTCACATCATCTTGTGTTGGCTGTCATCATATTTATTACTGAATTCACAAGAAACTTCTTGTGCTTTTCCTTCCTCCTTTTCTTAGGCTTTCTATTCCTCTTCAAAAACAGTCACCTTTAATTATCCAAATACTATAACTTCATAAGCCAGACAAGCCCAGTTTTAGACTGGGTTCTCATACCTAGATTGATCTAACAGGATCAATTCACCTCCGAGGGGTTTCTCACTGAATTGCTTTCAGAGAAAGCGGCTTAGATGTCTGGCACACCTACTGAAGTGGCGAAACGATAATTAATTACCCCTGTACTAGCAGATTCAGTAGGCATAACCGACATCTAAACCACTTAAGTGGATTGCAATTTAGTGAGAAACCCCTCAGAGATAGATCGATCCACAGTTAGTATGCTAGGATCTGGGAACAGTCCCTTACCTGCATACTGGTGTGAACACTGGCACTTTTGTGATGTTCTATACACCTCCCATCACTTACATCCCACAGACAGATCTCCCTGGAAACACCATGGCAACAGTTACTGCATGTTATATTAACATGAGACGTAACAGTGTGTAAGGTTCGACTTTTTTTAGTAACAATGTATTAGATGTGCCAACATGTTAGGTTTGCCAGTGTGTTAGGTGTGACAGAATTAATTGTACCAGTCTGTATTGCTGTGATAATGTATTTTTGTAACAATGCATAAATGTGACAGTGTGTTAGCTGTGACAGTGTTACATGTAACAGATGTCTTACCCATTATCTGCAGCACTTGCTATATAAGGCTTATGTGGATTCTTGCTAGCCATGGCCAGACAGTTGATAGCAGCATTATGACCATATAGCATACTTCTAGGGTATATCTGTAAGGAATATAACAATAACAATAGTTAGAACATAGCTCCTGACCACTAAGAGTCTAATCTACATTTGTTAAATTTTTTTGAAAACAGTTTCAGTGTTAAATTTCACCTTTCAAGGTGGTGGTTGTATATATCTCACCTGACACTGTCAGTGCCACTGATTGAAATTACCTTGAAGCTTCTGGCCACGTCTGGTCCAAATCTTTAAATCACTTCAACTAGCACAATACTTTTTAATTTCTGTGATAAGATATAAATGACCAGAAAATTTCTGATGAACTTTGACCCACCGTCCAATCCTCTAAGACATCCCAAATTATAATCTGACCGTCGTTACATCCTGTGATGATATTCCTCTGGTCAGAGGTCATCAAGATGGCAGACACACAGTGCGTAGGGGCATGACGGCCCCAAAGAATGATGGGCACAACAAGATTACTTCCTGACATGATTTGGTAGATGGAAATACCTGTAAAAGATGACAATTCCGTAACTATTCTCCACAGCAAACAATTGTTATGAAAATATTACTATTCGAAATACTGTAGTACACTTGTGCATTCAGCAGTGTCAAGTTCTGTTCGAATACAAACGTAATCCTATGGTCAATGACTTTGTTGTCTCACTTTCCTCTTCACACTTTTTCCTGGAGTGCATGTGTGTGTGTGTGTGTGGGGGGGGGGGGTGATGTTCATCATCCTTCATTAATATGCATATTTGTTTCTGATATTTTATACAGGTGGTCAAGTTATGGAATTTAGGAATACTGTTGTAGGGGAGGGGTAT